CAAATCTATGGATACACATTTCACGGAGTACTCCTCGAATTACCGTCTTCATTGCCGCCAGACACCTAAGTTGAAATAAAGGAAGAGCTATAGTCTGTGTATAGTGCCATGTAGTGAATGCATCTATGAGTATCGTTCAATATCTGTGATGAGCTCATTGGTCGCGATTGTTTTGCATGTAATTGTGGTTGAAAGATAGTGAATTTGCCATCTGAATGAGTCGGTAACTAATTAATGCTTTTTCTGAAATATAGTAAATATTATACTACTGATGACGTACTCACCTGAACAACACCCTGCTAACAAATAGCAAATCAAAGTTGCACAAAAGCGCTACTATCAGCTCACACGGGACCTCGCTTGTCATACCCTACGACGATAAGAATAGACAGCATATCCGTACAAGCCAAAAACAAAGCTTAGCGAATCTGAAAGTGAACCTAATGAAAACAAACCTAATTAATTAATATTTTTTTCAAATACAAAGTCAATCCCAATATAGTCAATGACAATGCTCCAAGAAATATTTGAATTAATTAGTTTCAGAATGATGACTAAGATATAGAAGTAGAAGGTCAAATAATTATAAAGTCGAAGGATTACAGGGATTAAATATCCAAACTGTTAAATGGGGTAAGAGCTACCGTGTTAAGGTGCGTGGTAGAACGGGTAAAATGATAAATGTAGGCAACGCTTCGCGCCCAATCTCCCAGAGATTGGTAGCTAAGCAGTACAATGTTTCAACTGAAACTCATGAGAAACACTTGTCGTCTGACTACAGGGCTGATCCTGAATACCGTTTTTACAATAGTAATCACATGAAATTACACCTATATGAGGGTATCGAGGCTACTGATTACTACGATAAGCTCGAGAACGTTCTTTCAAGCCAGGCAAGTGTTTTTGAGGTGAATATTGCTCTTGGGCACGAACTTGTAAGCAAGATCGATCCTGATGATACACGCTACTTCTATCCGAATCTCGCCAACACTTATGTGTTCAATAAGCCTGTCTCTATCAACATCAAGGCTGATATCTGAAAGAAGTGATTCCGGAAATTCAGTCTATGGAGTTGGCTGACAAGCTGAACTACACCAGCTCTGGATATAAGGATAAGGCGATCACTGCATTCAAGATTTTCGTCTACCATCGCGACCATGCTCTTGGAAATAGCGAAGCTATAACTCCGAAGATTATCTACGAAAACAAGCATGTATTTAACTTC